GTTACAACCAGGAACTGCGGAACTCTCCGCTGCAGTGCAGGCCAATCGTTGGCGGGGGCCCTCCGCCATCAGTAGCTGCTTTTTGGCTCTAGCAATATATTTCACGTTGGGTATTCTCTCAATATAGGCTGCCTCCCAGTCTCCTTCCCATGATCTTGGACCACTTTCAAAAGGCTATAGGAAGGGAAGTAACACATTCGCAATATAATGAAGTCCTTTCTGGACTGCAGAGCAAATGACTTTGCACAATACTAAATCTAAACTTTGATTTAAAGACGTGGTGCAGTGGCTAAAGGCTGTAAGGTGGTACTTGAGAAACCAGAGGGGTTTTCTGCACTACATAGTTATGACAATTTCATACCACTTTCATTTTCATAGTTCCAGTCTATAGAAACCTGGGACATGTAATCTAGTACAGTCCTTCAGATTTTCTGTATTGAAACACTAGAGCTCCAAGACAAAATCTGACTGCCTCAGTATACTATAGACAGAGGCAGCCCTAGGTAATTTTCAATGGTAAGCAAACAGAATTTGCCCCCCCCCCCCAATCAGTCACTGATATATATTTTCTGTTTGTCGTGGGAGTTCTGTGTGCCATATTTGGTTCAATTCCATCATTGGTGGAGGTCAGAATGCTCTTTGATTGTAGGTGAACTATACATCCCAGTAACTACAACTCGCATATGTCAAGGTCTATTTTCACCCAAAAGTGCCTCAAGAGTGCCCCTGGGCAAAATCAACTGTACTGCAAATGCTTACTTTGCGTAATGGGTTGAGCCGCCCCTGACTATAGAGCCCACAATTACATAGGAAATTACATACAAATTAGGGGGGCATCAAATTGTTGTAATTACATAATATGCATATGCCTCCATGTTGAAGTCCATATTGAACTATGAAATTCACTGTGTAACCTCATTAAGCCTATAACTAGGCCGTTTTATAAATTAAAAAAAGATAGAGACACAGTAGAGAGATGAGATATAAATGTATGAAATGAAAGAACAGCTTTCCCCCATGCTTCTCAATGAGAATATGAGAAGCCTCCCGTGTACTCATTGCTCCCTCTTACGACACTTTCACCTCAGTTCAGGGACACAGCCCCACCGGAAGTAGATGAACATTGTATGATGGGATCCAGCAGGCTCCATCCCTGAACTGAGGTATGCCTTCTAAAATGTAGGATCCATAAGAATATACAATGTTTTCGTAGAAAGGTGAATACTGGTATTTCATTCTCTCTGATGGAGAATGAAATCCCTTTCCTAATAGACAACTTTTCTCAACAGACAACCAGCATCACCCATCCATTCCATCAGCCTATCTTGAATATTTTCCAAACCAGTAATTGCAAGAATGTAAAAGTGAGTGGTTTAGATTTTTTCCTCCTCCATCTCCTCTTTTGTATCATGTCCTGCAGTTACTGAGTTGCAGTTGATCATTAAAAAAAACCAAGATTATGGCAACCGGACTGATTGATAACTGGCAAATAGAGGGAGAAAAGGTGGAGACAGTGACAGACTTCTATTTCTAGGTGTGAAGATTACTGCAGAGTGCAGCCAGGAAATCAGAAGATGTTTACTTCTTGGGAGGAGAGCAAGGACCAATCTCGTTAAAATAATGAAGAGTAGAAACATCACACTGGCAACAAAGATCTGCATTGTTAAAACAATGGTATTTCCCTTAGTAACATATGGATACAAAAGCTGGAGCATAAGGAAGGCTGAGTGAAGGAAGATAAGATGCTTTTGAACTGTGGTGTTAGAGGAAAATTCTGAGAGTGCCATGAACTGCAAGAAGATCAAACCAGTCCATACTCCAGGAAATAAAGCCCAACTGCTCACTGGAGGGAAGTATATGAGAGGCAAAGATGAAGTACTTTGACCACATCTTGAGAAGACAGGAAAGCTTAGAGAAGAGAATGATGCTGGGGAAAGTGGAAGGGCAGAGGAAGAGGGGCCGACCAAGGGCAAGATGGATGGATGGCATCCTTGAAGTGACTGACTGGACCTTGAAGGAACTGGGGATGGCAACAGTTGACAGGGAGCTCTGGCCTGGGCTAGTCCATGAGGTCATGAAGAGTCGGAAGCGACCGAACAAATAAACAGTAACATCAAGTCTTGCAGATTGAAAGGCTGAGGCAGGGGAGAGTGCAGTTCATGAGCACAACTAAAATTTGAGCCTTGCAAACATTTGTGAACTTCCATATGCAAACACAGATCCACACACATACATGTATTCTGACACACCCTGGTTTGAAAGGCTGTTGGTTATTCTCTTTATTAATATTATTTTTACCACACTCTCCAGGCAATAAATACATAAAATGTCTCTCAGAGTAGTTCAAAATGAGAGAGATTGGCTTGAAACATGTTTTCCTCTCCATTGAGCAGGCCCTCCATGAGGGCAGCAGAACTGGGGAGAGACATTTTGTTCCTGAATATTGTTGCTCCCCCACATAACGAAGCCTGGTGTTTTATTGTTTTTATGTATATACCTGACAAGCAAGCTTTCAGTGGAATGTTTTTGGAGCTGGGGGTTCTGCCATCTCTCTCTCTCTCTTTAAAATATAACAGGAAACAAATACCATTCCTTGCAAAACTAACACCAGATAAGGTCAACACAGAAAGCAATGGAAAATTTCAAAAGGGTGACAATTATCTATAATCAGAGCTTAGAAATGTTACACTTGGGAGCCTGAATTTTATTACTTGTGCTGGAGTACACCCATTGAATCCCCAACTCTCCCAGTTTGGCAAGACAGTTCCAATTAATTATCTGCCAGCCCACTTTCTCAGCTGTTTTTGAAATGTCCTTTCTCTCTCTTCATTTTCCACTTTCCCTTTTTGCTTTGGCTTACTTCAGTTGATGCAAATTGAGTTCAGTGTGTCACTCCATAGAATCATTCTGGAGGACCTAGAACAGTAGTTCCCAACTTGTGGTCTATGGACCACCAGTGGTCCACAAGAAAGAAAATATGGTCTGCAGCCTCACTATTACTACAGCGTTGCCTCGAAACTACGCAGTAACAAGAGCAACTGGTCTTGTGAAACCCTCTTATAGTGCCAAGGCAACGAGCATGTCGGGAGGGGAGAGGCTGACTATCCACGAAAGATTACTACTACCACATGAGCTGTAGATTATTAAATATAGTTTTCTGTGGGTGAGCAGATGGTGTCATATGTTCTGTATCAGAAACTAGAGCTGATGTGGTCTATCCAATGCCATTTTCTGAATCAGCACCCCAAATAACCAAACCAAATCTAAAGTTGACCAAAAACCGATTTGTAACCCTTTAGGTTGGAAAGTGGTCCCTGGTCAAAGTGGTGCCTGGTTAAAAAAAAAGTTGGGAACCACTGACCTAGAAAATGTCTGAAGAAGGGTGAAATACCATGGTCAGTGGATCTTCCAGCAGTAGTTGGCCATAGAATTGCATTTGGATACGTAGAGAGAATACTTTGCAAGCCTTTTAGGTCTTTTTGAATGATTTTATGGTATTCAAAGCTTTTAGTATATAAAGGAAACCACATTCAACAAGCACACATAATAAACAGGGCTACTATCAAGATAATAATAGTAATCCTGATGGAGGTAGTGATGTAAAGCCCTTATTAGGCCTCTGATGACATTTCCCAGAACCCTCTTTTTAAAAATACCTTTGACGTTGTTGGCAGAGGAATTCCAAAAAACACAATGTTCCAGGTTCTGTGAATAACAACTATGTTTGCTTGGATATAGATGTCTACAAAGTCCAGCTTTTCCAATATTGTCTACTCCAGGAGCAAAAAATATTCTCTCATACTGCACATGAATGCTATTGATCACACCAGATGCACAGCTGTGTAATATTGATTTTTTTTAACTGTTGTCACGTTTTTATCTGTATTTTGCTTTAACTGAAATGATGATCTACCTTTGGTCCCATATCGGGAGGAAGGTGGAAAATAGATCAATATGTCTAGATAAACAGGTAACAGTACCACTGTTGCTCTGAATCCATATTTGATCTCCCTTCCTCAATGTGTGCATACATTTCTAAGGTAGGGTGTCTTTCTGTATGCAATATTTTGAGACACTAAACACTGAAAATGTTTCAACCCTACATCCTATCCCTGAGACCCAGTTGGTAGGAAGACTCACCATTTGTATGATTTTCAAATATAAGTTTGTCGTTGCACTCCTGCTCATCCACACAGCCACATATGTAAAATATCCCATTCTCGTTGTGCTGACGGACCATCACACACTGGGAGGTGTTATACTTGGGAACCATGACATTTTCAACTGGCATCTGTGGGTTGTGACAAAGCGTGCTTACTCTAACACTTTCATTGTCTTGTTTCCTAAAATACACAAGATTTTAAAAGAAGGTGGAAGTAAGATATAAAGTAGAGATGGCCAATATTATAGCCCTACACAAATTGCCAATGTTTTTACCAATAACAACAAAGTTTATCTTCTTAAGCTTATTATCTGTTTTAGCAATTTGATGGTTCCATTCATCTGTGGGTAACAAAAATTTGCTTCCCTTCTCCTTGACATTGCTGGATGCCTTTGATCCCATACCGAAAGAAGGAAGTATGTAAATTAAATAAATAAATAATAAAATAACTAGACAGATAAACATTAGACAGATTACATGTTTTGGAATATAGGAAAAGGTAAAGGTTTCCCCTGACATTAAGTCCAGTCATGTCGGACTCCGGGGGTTGGTGCTCATCTCCATTTCTAAGCCAAAGAGCCGGCGTTGTCCGTAGACACCTCAAAGGTCATGTGGCCGGCATGACTGCATGGAGCACCGTTATGGAATATATTAACAATTTATTATTGAAAGCCACCTTAAGTCCTGCTCCTTTTTAAAAACACACAGAATTTTAATAGTTAGAAGCTCGTTTTTTTCATTTGCTGGAATGAAATGTTTTTCTACTCACCATATAGACAAACATATTTCTTCAGGCTTTTCACAATAGGAGCTTAAACCACAGTTGCTGTAACACACCTGATCTTCACATACTGGATATGTATTATCACACCACTTGCAAAGATTGGTCTTCACATTACGCCCCGATTGGCTGTTGCACGCTGTGAAGATAAAATCAAACAAGAAGGGCACTTTGACATTGTTTGGTTATGCATTCATTTATTGAGTTCACAGATTTGTTTTAAGTCAGGGATGGGGAATTTGTGAACCCCTCTTCCCCAATAATAATAATAATAATAATAATAATAATAATAATAATAATAAATTAATAACATATTTTACAGATCTTAGTTAGATTTCTAACCCCAGCCTAGCCCCAAACAGTCCTGGGAGGATTAATCTAATCATTTATCAAGCTTAAAACTTGTTTGGCAGGAAACCTCTCAGACCAGAGACAGTGCCCATCTAAAGAAGACAATAACCCCATATACAGGTTTGCCTTGACAAAATACTTTGGAACTCCTATGTCTAGATTCAGGTTTATTCTTTATTAATAAACAGAGGAGGAGAAAACTCACATATATATACACAAAAACTTTAGTGCAACCATAGGCATATTCCCAGACATTCAATGAAACTTGATATAAAATATAAGCTTGTGAAACTGTTGTGGGCAGGGTGGGTTGAACATCCAGAAAGCCAGCCTGATATCTAGCTGGAAGAGAATCCACTTAGGGAAACAAGGCCTCTTTAGAGATGTAATAAAGGTCGGGCTCCAAGAAAACCAGCCAAGTGTTTCAGAAATATAAGATAGGAGATGTTTGTCAATGAAATCTGCATTGTGTTCTATGTTTTCTATTCAGTGTGTATATTTACATAAGCATTGCCTTTTGTCTTTGGGGCTGGCTCCTATTGTAAACCCCATAATCTCATCATAGACTTTTTCAGATCATTTCCCATGTCTTGCCCTTTTTCTCCTGGGAAGATTTTCCAAATGATTTCTGCTTCAAATAGCAGCTCCCAATTTTTCCTGCCACAGGAGACACTCCATCAACCTCTGATATCACAGGGAGTCCCTAGCCAATGCTAGCTCAGATCCTAGCTCAACCATTTCTGAGCCAACAGGGTAGACAGCAGATCTTCTGAATGGCTGCAAAAGGGGATAAAATGCTTTGCACTGTATTATATGTTATGTCAGTTCTTTGGGCTATGACACTGTTCTGACATCCACCTGGCCAGATGAATAAAACTTTGCTTCTGTCTCAGCCATGTTTATCTGGCTTTCAAAGTGCCACGGTGTAGTGGGTGATGAATCTACACTACTACCCCCTTGATTTTTAGTAACGATGTTGTTTAAGCAAACAGAAACATGCCAGTATGGAAACAATCATTTTCACAACTCATCTACAATAGTGTTATGGTGCTGCTTTGGTGACACACATTCCCACAATCAGTCTTCCACACTTTTTCCCTTGACCTCACCTTCCTACCTTGAGTCTCCCTTGAGAGAGAGAAAGTGGGATGATGATGACGACGACTGTGTGCATGCTATTTGATTTTTGATTTTTTAATGCTACAATTGTGGTATTGTTCTGAATGATTTAACATGCCTGTTGCTTCCAGAATTATTCTCATATGACTCCCCCCCCCCCCACACACACACACATGAGCATGAATAGGGGGATGCTGAGCAAAGGCTGATATGTAGCTGAGCCACAATGTTGGCTGATCATGCAGAAAGACCTTCTCTTCTCTCACACGTATATTTGTGCTGACCCATCTCCTATTTGGCACATCTCCCAGAACTAGTGGAGATCAAAGCAGCTGAGTAACAAATTAAGGCAAGATGGCCAATTCCAGGATCAAGACAGAAGAGGAACATTGATGGGCTAAGATTCCCAATTTTGGATGTAAACTCACAGATTTCCCTGGTATTGGGGAAAAGAACATTTGATAGGATTTTCAGATAAAAGAGTGACAGTGGCTGTTTAAGTACCTCCTATTTGTATATTTTAATTCCCTTTTTTAAAGCTAGTAATTTTCAAATAAAGCCTAGAGTATAGAGAGCAAATTCGATCCCAGAAAACATGCTCAAGCAATATGATATCTTGGTTGAACTTGAACATATAGGTGTTTAATTTGTTTCTCTATTTTTTCTATTCAGTATGTATATTTACATAAGCTTTGTCTTTAGTCTCTGGGGCTGGCTCCTATTGTATAGCAGGTCAAAAAAAAAAGTCTGAGCCCAGAGATTGAAGCTGAGAAAGTTACCATCAAGAATAACCCTGAACATGGCAAGCATGATGCTCTTCTTAAGAGCAGCTTTCCAAGGGTTGCATCCAGAACTGGCTTCTCTACCACTTTATGGGGGCGACTCTAATTCCCTATAAATGCTACGTAAAGGGTTGTTTCTTAGGAAGCAACTAGCTGACTGATATTCCTATTTAGGCCCCTTCTACACTGCCATATAATCTAGATTACCAAAGCAGATTCATATCTTCTGCTATGAACTGGATTATATAAGTCTATACTGCTATATAATCTAGTTGAAAGCAAATAATCTGGATTTTATATGGCAGTGTAGAAGGGGCTTTATTCTCTTGTGTAAGCAATCTCTGATGCAAGGGGCAATTGCTACAAAGATTCTGTTCTGTCTGTCACAATAGCCATTGTCCATGGGAAAGGGTGAAAAACTGTACTGAGTGACAAGGAACTAGATCTATGCATCAGCTCTTCCTCCAGTGATTGCAGCAGCTCCTTCCCACTAACTGGAGATAGGAGTTGGCCAGACTAGGGGGTTATTTACATGCCATTTATTTAGTTAGTTAGTTAGTTAGTTATACTTATGTGTTTGTAACTCCCCAATAGAATTCTAGTCATTTGCTCTGACTTAGAGTCCATCTACATTGTAAAATTAATGTGATTTTGCTCCTCTTTAACTCCTGTGGCTCAAGTCAATGGAATCCTGGGAGTTACAATTTGATGAAGCACCATCATTCTTGGGCAGAGAGGATTAAAAACTTTGGACTACTACAACTCCCAGGATTCCATAGTCATTAAAGTTATGTCAAACTGCATTAATTGTATTAACTGTCTAGATCAGGGGTCCTCAAACTTTTTAAACAGAGGGCCAGGTCACAGTCCCTCAAACTGTTGGAGGGCCGGACTATAATTTGAAAAAAAACATGAATTCCCATGCACACTGCAAATATCTTATTTGTAGTGCAAAAGACACTTAAAAATGATACAATAATTAAAATGAAGAACAATTTAAACAAATATAAACTTATTAGTATTTCAATGAGGTATGGGCCTGCTTCTGAGATAGGATTGTTGTTGTTGTATGCTTTCAAGTCGATTCAGACTTAGGTTGACCCTGAGCGAGGGCCAGGTAAATGACCTTGGAGGGCCGCATCTGGCCCCCGGGCCTTAGTTTGAGGACCCCTGGTCTAGATGGACCCCTAGGCCCAATAATTAAGTTCCAGAAGAGGTGTACAGAAATTCATTTCATATTATGAGATCACACCTTAAGTTCTTTCAGAAAGAGAATGTGTCCAAGCTGCTCGTAGTGGTTCATGCAGACATCTCTATCGTTGTCCAATTTAGGTTCTTGTATGTACCCAAGTGAGATTATGGCTGGATCTACACTGCCCTATGTCAGAGGATCTGATCCTGGTGTATCTGTCTTGAACTGGATTATATGAACCTACACAACCAGATAATCTGGATAAACAGATAATCTGGGTAAGGCAGTGTAGATCCAGTCTTATATACGTCTCATATAAACCAGTACAAAGTAGATAATCTGGGATCCAATCCTAGGCTATAGCGCATTGTAGAAGGGGCCTGAGTTGATGGATCCATCAAGAGATTCTTAACGTCTTGTTGAGAAGCATGTTACACTGCTTACAAAGAGCCACCACCTAAGGCTACCCAAATTAGGGCTTTATGAATTAAGCCATGAGTTTCTAGTTCCTATAAAGCTACAGCTGGGGATGAAATGATAGGAGGACAAGTGAGTTGGCTAAGTGCTCTGGTTGCATCCTTGTAGTGGGAACAGGCTTCTAAGGGTTAGCTTTTATATAAAGGTGGAGATATTTCATTATATTATATAGCCTCCCAACTTTTTTGTCCTACAAATCCTATCAGTCCCAGCCAGTATGACTGTTGTTAAGGATGATGGGATTTGTACCCTAAAACATATGGAAGACAGAAGATGGTTTACCCTAATAGTTAAAGAACTTGGTTTGGGTCTACTTTGCCATATAAAAATACACATTATCTGTTTTGAACTGGATTATATGGCAGTACAGACTCAAATAGTCCAGTTCAAAGCAGATAATGTGGCAGTAGATATGGCAGAGTATATGGCTGTTTAGATCCAGCCGAAGTAAACTGACCTCCTGATATGCTTTGGATTTAACAATACATCATATTCAGAAGAAAAATAATAGCTTCCTAATAGCTTTCCCATGGTCCCGATATTTGCTACTGAAGCTTTACAGTTCCAAGGGCAAGGATCCACAATTTGAGCGTCATTGGAATACGGCATACATAGCACATTAGCGAAACAGTTAGAAGCAGGGCTGTTCCAAGTTTCTTTATTTGCATCAGCCATATGCCTTTACAAGCAATATGTCATACTAAATGAGAAGAAATTAAACTATTGCACTACAAGAGCAAAAAAGAGAAAGGAAGAAAGAAAGCAATAATAATAATAATAATAATAATAATAATAATAATAATGCTTTTTACTCCTTTCATTCCACCCACTGAAATAAATAACAAAAAAGTTGATGTGCCCCCTTTCAGAAGCTGAAAACCAACCCCAAATCTCTGGTCCTCATTATCAAACTTATGCTGTTCATCCAAACAATATTTTATTCCAGCATTCAGATTTGACCCTTTCTTGTTCTGTGATCCCTTCTGCTTCTGGCAATGAACAGTAAATCTTTCCGTCCCATTTCGTGATGCATCAGAATGATATTTTTTTGCATTACCAAAGAGACAGTGTTTGAAATGATTCTACAATTGATGAATTCAGATGTGTGTGTGAAACTCTGACATTGTGGTATCATCGAACCCTTCTGTCTTCAATTTATTCTTGGAAAACCCATCCTCGTATTTAATTAGTTTATGGTTTGTTCCAAGTTTTGCTTTT